AATGCTTCAAGATAGACTGTTGTATATTAACGATGACAAAGTACAATAATGCATATACATTTTTGTAGTATTTTTTAATTTCTCTTTTTTATATATATTAAATTCTTAAGTTATTTTACATAAAAAAGATATTACAGTTATGTGATAGAGGAGTGCCTAGTTTAGAAAATATTTCAATTTTGTAAAACTTGTTTCGTAAAAGCGAGCAAAGACGTTATGTACTACTCTTGATACTACTTTACTAGTTTTTCATACAAGTATTGCAAGATAGTTTTTAAATTCAGTTATTGAATTCATGTTATTTTAATACTTTTTTATACATAAAATGATGAGAGAATTTGATCTATGCAACAAAAAAGAAAAAAGAAATTACATTTCCGCAAGGAAGATAATTATGACTATATAGTCATAGTTACACACACAATTCATCTTTTCGATATAATATCTTTCTCTATCTCAATCAAGAAAACGATATAACTTGTTACGGTATGTAACAAAATATTAGAATTACTACTCAAGCAATGAAAAGCATTCAATTTGTACTTTATTAATATAATTCTTAATAAATACTTATAGCAGTGAACTTTTCATTGTTACTTTTTTTAAGTATAAATAATAAATCTAATGTTAATAGCTAATCGTTAGACTGTGAATACTGTGTACTTGAGAGTAAATTTACATCTATTGTACATAGATAAAATAAAATTTGGATAGATTTCATTTCTTTAATTATATTTATATTATTATTTATATAATAATTTGCAAAAGAAAATCAGACATATATGAAATGATCGATTTTACAAGTGTATGAAATAATTTAAAATTTAATAATTTGTATAAAATTGGTATTTTATGAATTATTGTATTATAAAAAGGTAGATTCTATGTATATTATAGAAACAGATTATCGAAATTTCGATAAAAGTAATAAGCTCGTAATATTAATACGAATTATTGAGAAGAGAAATACGTGTGAAAATTAGATTAAAAAATACGAACATCAAGAACAGTATATTTATATATTTTTTTTGGAATTGTTGAAATATATTGAATTAATGTCATTAATTAAATTAATTAGATAATGTACTTGATCAGCGCGTTTTTTCAAAAACACTTTCATTAGAAATTTGACCATTTCATCAGTAATGTAATATTCACAGTCTAGTAATAGCTAATTAACATTTAAAATTTTAAATGTAATAGAAAAAAAAATAAATGTGTAAATAAGTAGAGTGCGGATTTTTCAACAAATTCATATTTCCATAGACAGAATTAAAAGATTTAGGATGTTTTATATGTTCTACATGTTTGTATATATTAGGATGTTTTATATGCTTTATATCATGTTTCTATATATTAAATTTCATACCATAATTCATACACTCATAGATAAAATTAAATCCTAGCCAGAAATTTTATTTATTAAATGCTATATAAAAAGTACCATATTTCGGATATTTTATGTTATACTTTTTTTGTATCTCTCTTGTACCTTTAAGTTTCTTACGATTGCGTGAAAATCCGCAGTCTACTCATAAATAATAAGTACATAATTATAAGCTCATACGTTCGTACGATGTTGCAGATGGTTTGTGGCAGTGCGAGGAGTCCCTCGTCGGAGGAGGAAAGCCAGTGGCTCGTTGGCAGCGGGGGTGGTCCCGCATCTTCCAGCGGTGGTGCGGTATCCTCAACTGGAGAACGTTCGTTGACCATTAGAGGAGGATTATACACCGAAGAGATGACGACTCAACCGACGAACGCGAACGCGGCAGGTGTGAACGCGGCCTCAGCCGATTCCGCTGAGCACGATCTCATTGACTCGACCGCCGACGCGACACTTTTAGCACAATTTCACGAGGAGGCTATCAGTCAGGTATCTTTGCTTTTTCCCGTTTAGATTATTTCGAATAGCTTTCCAATCGAATGTTGTGAACTTCACTTTTTTCATCATTTTTATCTTTATTATCATTATCTTTTTTATTATTTTTATTTTCATTATTTTTACATTATTTTTACTTTTAAGTTGACCGTCAAGTTATCTCCCATGATTGAACGAGCTTCCGTTTCAATTTTATCAAGAAGTTATGACTCGTGACGTCATAACTCATTTTGCTTGTCGAAATAAGAACGTAGCAAACCGTTAAATTAGCCCTCTGGTGTTGGGTCTATGATACTTGTAAACATTATTGCTATTTGTATAAATTCGTCCCCGAAGGATTAATACTGTCTATGTTGGAATTTAAAGTTGATTCTATTATTGGATACGATCATAAAATTTCTTAGCAAATTCTCGTTCTAAAGCCATTTCGAGGAAAAAGAATCGTCCATGATAGATAAGTTGTGACGCTGGTTCAACAATGTTAGAGTGTCCACTTTCAATAAGAAATATTTGATGTAATTTTATTTACACGGCGTTGAATTATTACTGTATTCAAACTTCACTCCACATATTGACGATATTGAGCACTTTTACTGATATTCCGAGCAACGAAATTAAGAAAAAGTCGCGAAATTCGAAAAGACTTCGTTAGCGACGCGCACACCGTTCCGGAAGTTCTTGAGAGACTAAAATTTAAACCACAATCGCAAGCAAATAGCGATTATCGAAATGTATCGAAGTATCGATTGTCGATCTTTCCCGAATATCCTTTTCCGAAGCATAGCCACGGGCCAATGAGCTTATACATATTTGAAATCTGTATGTACATTGGCTGCCGCATCTTTTTCGACACATCGAAATTAAACATTGAACTTTGGTTAATCGAACAACAAAAACATAACCTATAGCAAATGGCGTCCTTTTTGATCAAATTATTTTCTTCAGCTATTTAATTAGCTTTTCACTGCCAGTGTTTGAAATTTCCTACAGTTCCAACATGGACGAAGTTTTAGATGAATCGATTGTCAAGACAAAATACGAATCGAGAGAGATACCGGGCTATCTGGATGATTTCCCAGTAAATACATTTGCTTCCCATAATTTATTTGGAGGTTACACTTGTATTTTTATCAATTATAACTGTACCAATTATGTGCTGCTTGTATTATCCAGATGAATTTAATAAACAATAATACAAATAATTGACTACTTACTGTATATTATTTGAAAATATTTCTGCCATATGTTATCGCTGTATATCAAATTATACTAAGCTGTTAATTATTTTTCAGGCTGGTGTTGGTTATTTTCAACTATTGGCTGCTCTGTGTACTGGCTTGAGTCTTGCAGCAGATACTGTTGAATTTTTTGTTGTACCATACATTTTGCCAAGTGCAGAGGTTGAACTGTGCATCGAGGACAATGAAAAAGGATGGCTCAGTTAGTTTTTATTTCATTATTTCTTGTAATGTGCTTACTTCTAGATGTTTCTTTTCTTAATTCTTACGTGTTCCTATTTTAGGCAATATTACTTTAATGGGCCTTGCACTAGGAGGATTGTTTTGGGGTGGCTTAGGAGACAGGATTGGTAGACGCAGATCTTTATTGTCTGCAATGTCTGTTCATGCTTTATTTAGTGGTGTAGCTACTTTCATGCCAACGTACGGAACATTCATGTGTGCTAGATTTTGTTCTGCAATTGGGTAAGAAATTCCTTGTATTTTCTTTTTTATATTTAAGTACTATTTAAGCTCATTTTATATGAATTATATATTTTATTTCATTACAGAGTAGGAGGATCTTTACCATTAGCATTTGCGTATCTCGCAGAATGTTGTCCAAGATTAAGCAGGAGCAGATGGATTGGTTTATTAGTAGCAGCAGGAGCACTAGGAGGTGTATATGCGGCGCTTCTAGCATGGGTGGTGGTTCCTACAACTGGAGAGATGGTGGTCCTTGAAAACAAAGAACATTTCAGTGCTTGGCACCGCTTCCTTTTACTTTGTTGGTTACCTGCATTATGCTCTACTGTTGGACTTATTTTTCTACCAGAAAGTCCAAGATATTTGGTAGAGGCAGGCAGGGATGTAGAAGCAATGATGGTTTATCAGGTATTTTTTGATATCTGTGCTTGATATATTTTGATAGTATAGATATTTTGATATCTATGAGATGAAAATGATTTTATTTTTAAAAGTAAAAATGTAAGAAATTAACATATTTCTTTTAGAAAATATACAAAAAGAATAACACACGGAAAGGTGCAACAGGTGCACAATATCAACTTTCTGAATTAGAGCTTCCAACCAAAAGGCCTCGTGGTTTGGCACCTCCATCTCCTACTAATCATACTAGTGTTTTGGCTGATATTATTTATTCTATTGAAATGGTACGAATATTCTTTTTTTATCTTATGTCTTTAAAAACTAATGAACATTTAATTTTTATTTCTAGTTTTGGAATTCCTTCTTGGAATTATTTATATCGCCTCATTTGCGCGTCACGGTAGTGCTTATAATTATTTGGTCAACTGTATCATTTGGGTATGTATTTTCATTACATTTTCATACATGTTCCTTTATCTTATGATATTATGATTTTATTTTATATTCAGATTATATGGTCTTATGGTGTGGTGTCCCGAGTATCTCAAACTCTTACGTGCTACGGAATATAAAGCTCATACTAAATTGATTTCCGGACAAGAATACAATGGGCAAACATTCAACGGTTCTTTGGAAAATTGTCAATATAAGGATTCGACCTTTTTAAACTGCAAGTAAGTGGATGTAGCAAAAAATATGTGAAACAATACTGAACTGGACCGTATATGAACATTTTTGTTTCAGATTCACTAAAATGGTATTCAGTCACGTAGATTTCGATAATTGTACTTTTCGATCTGTAGAATTCAGTAACATAAAGTCTAGTAAAACTCATTTTACAGATAGTGTTATTATGCATTCGAAGTATGTATTTAAAATATTAATATTCAACAACAATGCTTCTTTTTTATATAAAATACATGATTGTCTCTGACTTTTAGATTTGTAGATACAGATCTATCCGCACAAGTCTTCACAAGATGTAAGTTGCAAAATAATACAGAGTTAAGTTTAAGCGGACCGTGCCCGACTCTCGATTTGGATTATAATATTTACATAGAAGAAGCATTACATGGTCATCTTGTTGCTCAATTGGCATTTGTGCCTGCTGCTGCTTTAGCAGGATTAGCACTCGCCGTGCTGCAACGGCCAAAAGTGATTGGTATTTCATTGTTTCTCTCGTCAATAACTGCTCTGTGTTTAATTCTGGTGGATACAAATAGTTCTGCCGTACTTGGCTTCGAAGGTGGTTTTATAGCAGTTTTTGCTATTGCTTGGACGTCTCTTACCTTGGTTACAGTTGAGAGCTTCCCTACTCATTTAAGGTAAATTTGATTTTGATTATTTTGTTTAAAAAAAAA